ATAAAGTTAATTTTAATATTTAAAACTATTTAACATTTTGAATTCTGAAAGGTTTTCTCTAATAGCAAATTTAAAAACATAATATTCAAAAAAATAGTTAATATAATTGAGTATATTAGATAGCGGTTGAGGTTTAACCGCAATTAGAAGTTGCAATTTAAGGATATACAACCATATTTTAAGATTGTGAAGTCTCGGGTTGTATTTCGCTTGAGCGACATTTTACTCGCTCGAGCGACATCCGATTCTAACATGAGTCTCCTATGTTACATTATCCGGCTAACTTTGATCGACGTTTGCGCAGGTCAACATTAGCTCAAGCGACAATAGTATCGCTCGAGCGACGCGACCTGCACAAAATTGGTCTTCTCGGGTGGTTTTTCGCTTGAGCGACACTGTCTCGCTCGAGCGACATCCACATTTTTTGGTTATGATCGATTACATTTTCAAATGATCGATCATGTTTGAGAATATATAATAGCGGTTAAGATGTAACCGCTATTAGATGTGCTATATAATAGCGGTTAAGATTTAACCGCTATTAGAAGTGCTATTATAATAGCGGTGAAGATTTAACCGCTATCATATACAACCACATTTTTCATTTCCCTGTCTCGCGCCACTTATGCCCAAATAACCTTAACTCTCGCACCTCACTCACCCATTCCCTGTCTAGCCCCCTCACTGCTCCCCCCAAGTCAGCCCTCACCCTAATCCAACCTCCACCAAAGCTCCTCGTCACCCTGTGAGCCACCGTGCCACACCTTTGTTCTGAAGCTCCTCCGCACCCTCTGCCACCTCGCCACACCTCTGTTCTTAACCTAATCCAACCAAGGTTTGGCTTGTTTGAATGTATATACTGTTATTCTCTTGCATTGTGAATAATATAGGAGAGATAGTTTTGACAGAATTTCTTTATCTGTTTATTGTAGGTGGATTTGTGAAGTGGATAGGTTCTTCGATCCCTCTTACTGCGGATTTGGTGGTGCTTGACAGACCAATTTGGGAACTACTCGAGACTGTACGCTGTTAACCATTTGTAATTTGTTTCACTTATCTGTTGCATCTTAGTGAAAAGAAATTTCATAATTATTGGGTTTACTTACACAATTATTTGGTGGTCTGTATCATATGTACTGCATAAGTAGTGGATAAATACCTTGGAAAAAATGTATTAGAAAAACGTAAGTATTGCATCACATGAAGTGAATAATGCAGTTTCACTTATGCTGATTGTTGTAGTTAATTTGCAAGAATAGAAAAACATAAGTAGTGCATCGCATAAAGTGAATAATGCAGTTTCACTTATGCTGTTGTAGTTAATTTGTAAGAATAGAAAAACATAAGTAGTTGCATCACATAAAGTGAATAATGCAGTTTCACTTATGCTGATTGTTGTAGTTAGTTTGCAAGAATGGAGATCCCTGTTGGTAGAATGTGGATGTATCAAAGATTGGATGGTAACAAACATCTAACAGATGAATTTAGAGAAGGAGTATATAATTTCCTACAATATGTTATTGCTCAACCTATGTTTCAAGAACAAGGTGAAATGTTAAGATGTCCTTGTGTTAAATGTAAGTGTAAAGTATTCAAGTTTGTTGATAAAGTTGCATGGGAGAGTAAGTATGTTTTAATTTAATTATAATTCTTTAATATGAAATTTCTTAATAATATCAATCCCACAATATGTTTCAACACAGGTTTATACCAGCAAATGGTCCTCCTGCTCTAATCTCTAGAATCATCAAACAAAAATTTGATGAACCAAGTCCCACTTGGAGAAAGGTTTCACTTGAGCTTCGAGATAGATGGTTTGGAGAGTTCAAGGTAATTTGAATTATAGTTACATTAAACAATGTCATTTCATTCTTATAAATTAAATGTTTGTTGTGTATTTTATTTATGCGAAAAGAGTATATATGGGATGTGGAACAAGAGCAAGCCATAAGATCTGTTTTTGATAAGAAAGGTTCTCGAATTTTAAAAAACTCAATGAACAAAGTTAGGAATGGTAAGGATACGGGAATCCGGATACCGCCGATTGTTCGAGCATCTTTGGACTTACATTGGAGTTCTCCAGATTTCCAAAACAAGAGTGTCATTGCCAAGGCTAATCGAGTTGTTAATAAGGGTGCCTCGACTTCATCGTGGGGGTTCCATATCTACTTGCAGCTCACTTTGAGAAGATGGTAAGTTTATTATATTTTTATATAAGTAATTTAATACAATATATTACACTTTAGGTAATGAATATTGTCTCATTTTAATGTGTAGACTACGGAGTTTCAACGGGAACCAACCGTTTGGGAGGTTGTTGAGAGGACAAAGAAATTAAAGACTGGACAATGGGTCAATGAAAAAACTTGTTATCTTGTTGTATGTTTAACATCTAAGTTATAGTTTATTATTCAATATATTAAGACTTTGAATCTTGAGTAGTTGTTAAGTTCTTAAGTTTCATTTGTGTTATATTTGGATGAATTAAGCAGGTACAAAATTTGTCAAATTATATACAAAATTTGACTTTAGTTCTTAAGTTTTCATTTATGTTATGTTTGAATGAATTAAGCAGGTACAAATTTTATGATTTGAATAATTTGACTTTAGTTCTTAAGTTTTTATTTGTGTTATGTTTGGATGAATTAAGCAGTACAAATTTTGTCAAATTGGATATACAAAATTTTAAGCGAAAATTTTCAGATTTGGTTAGATTAGCGATCGAATTTTTGGTCGCTACAAATTTATTATAATATACAATTCAAATTTAGCGACCGATTTAAATTATTATTTAAATAATTCAATTAATATATTAGCGACCGAATATATCCGTCGCTATTTTTTAAAATTGTACACGGATTTAGTGACCGATTTAGCGACCGATTTATTATATTATTTTCGGTCGTTATTTTGGTCTCCAATGAATAAGTGACCAAATTATTTAGCGACCACTTTAGCGACCACCAATTCGGTCGCTATTTAGCGACCGAAATGTAAATCGGTCGCTAACACATTAGCGACTTGCCCTTTTGTGACCACCCATTTCGGTCGCTAATTTCGGTCGCTAACTGAATAGTGACCGATTTTTGGCTATTAGCGACCGATTTTGTCGGTCGCTAATAGCGTTTTTTCTTGTAGTGATTCATCTTTACTCCATCAAGATCATATGCAAGACTTGCCCACATACAAACCTTAGCCCAAAAGTTGTAAAAGTACTCTAAAATTGAAAAAAAAAAAAACTTACTCAATTTAATAATAATAATTATTAATATATATAATAATAATCATAATTAAATTTATATTATTAATAATAGTTATTATTATTTAGATATATAATAATATTATTATTATTTTATTAATAATAATAAAAAATTGATATTAATAATGAATAATTTTTAATAAAAACATATTATTATTAAATAGTAATAATAATAATGATAAATATATATATATATATATAATAGATTTATAATTATTTATATAATTATCTTATTATTAATATTATTTTTAATTTATATAATTTATATCATTATTATTATTATTCTATTATTAGTAAAAATAAAATAATGTTAATAATGCTAATAATATTAATATTTTTATTAAAGTTTTATTAAAATTATTATATTATTTAAATTTTATTATTAATAATAGAATAATATTAATGATAATAATATAATTATATAAAATAAAAATAATATTAATAATCAAATAATCATATTAATAATTATAATTCTATCATTTATTATTATTATTGTTATTATTTAAAATAGTATAATTTTATTAATAATCATTCATTATCAATATTATTTTATTATTATTAATACTAAAATAATTATTATTATTATAAATAATTTAATTATTATTATTATTAATACTATAAAATATATTATTATAATTATAATAATATAATATTTATTATTATAATATAAAATTAAAATATATACTAGGACAAATTATATGACTGTAAATTTGAGAAAAAAATTATATTATTTTAATAAAAAAAACTTAATTATATAGTGTGATAAGATTGTTGTTTTTTGTAATTATTTAAAAAAATATCTTACAGTCATTTTTATTTGGTTGACAATATATAAAACTTAATTCAATTATTAATTCAATTATGTAATCGATTTTTTTATTCAAATTTTTTTATTTATTATTAAAATTTTTATTTAGTTTCTAATTTTGGTTATATATTTAATTTATTAAACTAATCTATTTATTTTAGATGAAATAGGGATAATTTATGCGAACAACTATTTGATACTTTTTTTTAATTGTGGCCAAAATTCTACAATAAAATATTGTTATTTGGCTAAATTGCACAACAAATGGAAATTTAGGTTAGGTTTACTACTTTATTTATTTATTAGTGTTCGGTGATTAAAGATATTGAAGTAAATGTACAGACAAAAAAAATAATGTTAATAGTCAAATTATTTTAAATTTTTAAATAACTCAACTACATAATAAGACACAACTACAATTTTCAAAATTAAAGGCACATGGAGAAGAAAGTTATATCTCAAATTATGTAACAAGTAAAATAAATAGGGTTTATTTGATATAATTTGATTTTTTAAATTCAGAAATTATTTTAAAGATTAGTTTTAGAAAATTGTTTATTTTTAAGATATGACACTTTAAAGTTAAAATGGGTAAAGTAACAAATTGTGTACGACAATAATGCAAAGACAGTCACGTTGTAAACATTTATAAATTCTGTGAACTAAGTATTCAATAATTTTTCATAATGAACTTGCTACATTTATTGTGTAATGCACACATTCATTTTATGCATAGTTTATATATCAAGTGACGCCTGTAATTAGATGTGATCAAACACCTGATTAAAACACTTATAAAAATGATTAATTAACATGTGATTATTGGTAAATAAAAAGGTTAATATATTATAGTTATCTACTATTTTTAATATTTAAAAATAACAAATATAGTTATGGTAAAAAGTTTGTTGGACGGACGATGGGAAAGGAAAAATGAAATTGACGGGAGCGATGAGTGGGTAACTATCATATCATATCATATCCAAATGAAAATCTCGTGAATAAGAAAACGGGAAAAAAGAGGGAATAAAAACCAAATCTAAAAGTAAAACCCTAAATTAATACAACCAGCCCAAAGCCCGCCTTGGGTGTTCCCTCCCTACCCTCACATTCTCATTCTCTTTCACATATACATATATACCTGCTCCCTTTTCTTTTTTTCTCGTTCTTTTTCTTTCTTTTTTTCTTCTTCTTCTTTCATCTTCTCTAATCACTTTTTAACCGCAACAGCCAAACATCATGGTGGGATCCAGCAACAACAACCACCACCACAACCCTCCCCCTTCTCCCTCACCTCCGCCCGAGCCTCTCAACAACAACAACACCATGTGCGAGGCTGCGTTGAAGCAGTGTACGCTCGCAGTCAGTTCCTCAGAGTCCCCGAAGAAGAGGGTCAGGCCCAGAAAGAACTCACAAGATGGCAACATTAGGTTGGACCTTGTTCCCAATCACGCCGAGCCTGCCCCCAAGAAGCACTTAGGACGCCCCCCTCGCTCCGGCAAGAAGCTGATGGATCTATCAATCTATCTATTTCGTTGTTTCATGTTTTGATAATGTTTTGATCGAGTGTGTTTTTTTTTTCCTTGTTCAGGAATCACTGGAACTGGCTTCACTCGCCGTGCTATCACCGCCGAAGCTGAGGAGGTATGCACTACTAGATCACGCACTCGCTTATCAAAATCACAATGACAATTATTATATTAACAACACAGGGTATTCTCACCCGTTAATTCAATGTCTCTTTGTTCTCTTTGTTCGTAGGACATTGCTGCAAAAATTATCTGTGAGCAAGGAGCACGGACAGTTTGCAGTAGTGGTCCTATCCGCAATGTCACCATTAGACAGCCGCCCTCCGCCTCCTCCCTTTCTGGGACTGATGTGTCCTATGAGGTACTTTTACTATATGAATATATATTAGTGTCACTAACAAAAAAAAGGATCTTTCAACAAATTTTGACTGTGACTGGCAGGAAATGAGAGAAAGTTATATAGATGGTAAATCACCGAGTAAGTCATCTGAGGAGCTGCTTATAGGTATCTCTAATACTTTACCTGATAGCCAATCACCTAGCAATACGTCATCTAAGGAGCGAACACGTGAATTGCTTATAGCTATATCTGATTCCGTACCTGATAAGGATGAAGATACAATTTTGAATTCAGATATTATGCCTAAGGGCAAAGATGCAGATAATTTTGAAAGATCAAACGACGAATTTGGGCCTAAGTGGATTTCAAGCAAGGATGCAGATGACTATGAAATAGCAAATTCTGAAAAATTTAAGAACAAAATTAGGTCTGAATTAATTTCAATTTCCTATACTAAATCTTTCACGGATCACAAAATCCGATAGAATTACAAGGCTGTTTTTTGTTTTGTTTTGAATTTCAATTGTGCCCGTTGTTATGAATTGGTTACGGTGATACTATAATAATCCCTTTTATCCTTTTACTTATATATATATATATATATATATATATATATATATATATATATATATATATATATATATATAATGTTAAAATCTTCTTACACTTCTATATTTCAAACTGATTAAAAAATAATTTTATTATTAAGACTAAGTAATTACTTGTGTTATAAAAGTTTATGATCTTGCTTTAAAATATAATTGATTTTACTTTTAATATATTTAAATAAAATTCATATAAAGTTTCTGGCAAAAGAAATCAATATCTTATAATGTAACAAATTAAGATTCAAAATTCAATTAAAAAAGGTCGACAGAACCTTAAACAGGAAGAAGATTCTCTATGATTTTTTATTTTTTTTGTTAAATTATAATTATAGTATCCTATTAAAAAAATAGTTCCTAAATATTTTTAAAAACTCATGATTTTTATCTCATTTATGTTTTGTATATGTTTTTGCATATTTTATTCTAGTCTAATTAAATCATGGATTTAAGATATACTTTAATTAATTAAAAAAAACATAAAATTAAAGATTGAAACAAAATCAAAGGATTTTTTTAGTAAATAACATTTTCCCTCCAATTCATTCAATCATATAGCACTAGAAAAGCCATGCGAAGGTTTCTCTGCAACGGAGCACGAAAATTCAACAAACCTCTTCGTTCCTATGCACTTTCTTCCTCATTACTATACAGTACTAGCTTCAATAATATTCATGATATCGGAGACAGTAATTTGCATTGGGTGGATGTTGATGCGGTGCATTCCCAAGGTGGAACAAATGCTGAGTTAGCGTTGTTTGAGTTCTCTCGTGGAATTAAACCAAATTCTTTTGCGCTTGTTAACCTAATTGGACTATCCTCTGAACTGAAGTGTCACTCGTTCGGAAAACAACTCCACAGTTATGTTTCACGTTCCGGCTTTTTTTCCCACATCCATGTCTCCACCTCCCTCGTCAAGTTTTACGTCAGAATGCACTCTTTTAGTGACGCACACGCACTGTTCGATGAAATTCCTCAGCCGAACGTCGTTACTTGGAACACTATGATATCTGGGTACGTCCACACTGGCCAGTTTCGAAACGCTTTGTCGTTTTTCATGCGCCTGGACAGGTCCCATGTTTGTGCCGACGCGTTTTCTTTCACGTCAGTATTGTTTGCTTGTTCCAAACTGAGTCTCTTTAAACTTGGAAGCTCAATTCATTGCAAGACCGTGAAACTGAGCATGGATGATAGCACTGTGGTTGCAAACTGCTTGATTGACCTGTATGGGAAATGCTGACCTGTGGAACATGCTGTAAGGGTGTTCTCCGAGAATATATATAATTTGAGTACATGAATATGTATGTAATTCATACATAATATTAACGATTATTTACCTTTCATGGTTAGAAAATATCTTCAATAAAAGTAATAGTACACAAAAAAAATCAAATAGTCAAAGGATGAATGTATAGAAGATGTATACAATAAAAGAAGTTAAGGTAAAAAACAAAATTATAAAAAATATATTTTAGATATTTGACTTGAGATATGGAATTTCAAAGAGAAATTATGGAAATGCTAAAAACAATACGCATCCCATCTTTGTCTCCAGGCCCAAATTTAGGTTTTGGTTTAAATAGTTAGTGGACAAAGGAATATTGATTAAACAATAATTATATATATATATATATATATATATATATATATATATATATTTATTAATGATGGAAGGTATAATTTTCGAATTAGTTATTTTTTAGATAAAATAATGCTTTTATTTATGATTTTATTTACTTGTTGTTTTGAATAATGTATTGTTATTATACACTACAAATTATAATCCAGTAGGTAATGCATTCGTTTAAACAAAATATTTATATATATTTACATATTTAATAGTTGGAGTATTGATTTTTAACTCTAAGGTATTGGATTTGAATTAGTTACAATTTTTTTAATTTGATATAATTTACCTACGGATAGTAATTCAGTAGGTAATTACCTACTAAATTATCCACTGGATGACATTACCTACGGATAATATATGTAGGTAATGGATAACTTATATGTATTTTAATTTTATATAATTTACCTATGGATTGTATTTCAGTAAGTAATTACCTACAAATAGTAATTTCATAGATAATTACTTACGGATAGTAATTTACGTAGATAATTACCTACAAAATTATCTCCGGATGACATTACTTACGGAAAATATCCGTAGGTAATGGATAATTACCCACGGATAGAATTCAGTAAGTAATATCTGTATGTAATGTACAATTTACCTATGGATTTTTTCAGTAGGTAATATCTGTATGTAATGTATAATTTACCTACGAATTTTTATTCATAGGTAATATCTATATGTAATATACAATTTACCTACACATTTTTTCTTTAGGTAATATTTTGTAGATAATAAATTTTTTTTAATGATATGCGAGAACTTGAAAATATAGATTCGGTAAAGGCAAAGGAAATTCTCCACTTTCAAACCACGTGGTAGCTTAACCGAAGTAGATCTAGATATTACTTGAGACATGTTTAAACCAATACAAAATCATTTTAACACTTCTTCAACAATCCAAAGATTATTAATCAATCATGTTCATAATTTTATGGTTGATCGTTTAGGTATTACTTTCAATTATCCATTTTGAATCCTTCATAGTGGTGTCGCATAGATTACATAAGTTCTTCAAAGTTTTTTTTTTTTCTTCTTAAAACCATAAAATCTATAAATATTAAACTTCCTAATCATTTCAGAGCTACTCGTTCTTTTTCTAACGATAATCAATTAGACTATTTAACTTAAAATTTGTTTTTTATATGTTCCTGAGTTTGCTTTATATCTTAATAGGCTAAATAAACAAATTATCTAATTATCTTAGTTCTTTTAAGAGTTCTAAATTTATTTTAATACATGTATGTTGACAGATGAAGATCGTATGATATCCTTTTTCTTGAAGGACATAGACATTTTCTTACATATGACTTTACTAGAATTAATCAAGCAATTAAGGTGTAAGAAGAATTCAGCCTCCTAGATGCTGTCTCCCTTGCCATATACAAGAATTCTCTGTCTCTATTCTATCTTCAACACCTGTCTACCAAATTTTAGCTAAACCTTGGCTCCATCTGTGCCCATCATACTCTCTCATCATGAGTCTTGTCAAACCACTTCAAGTACTCCATGGAATGGAAGCTAGTTTATCACAGAAAATTGAACAATCAAGTTACATTCAGAATCTGCAATCTATCTTCACCGTCTTCATAGTGTCACCAGTTTACCATTCAAATTAGAATGCATCCTCATTTGTTATTGTTAGCCTTAATGTACGGATACGTTGCCTGTCCAATATGTAAATTCACCTCCATACTTAAAAAATTCATATAAAAAAAAATCAAACAAAAATAAGAATAGAATAACAAATATTTTTTTTATTATTGTTAAATTAATCAAAACATATTTAAACTATTTAAATACTATCTTTTTTTCAATATTTTTTTTAGAACTTATAAAAATAAAAATAAAAATAGAATAATAAATATTTTTTTATTATTATTGTTAAATTAATCAAAACAGATTTGAATTATTTAAATATGTATCTCTTTCCTAACATTTTTTTTTTCTGAGAGCTTCTAATTTTCTTAATTTTCTACCGTTCTTTTTGTCATGAGTATGTTCTTATTTGTTCTTGTGTTTGTTTCTCTTTGTTTTTTATGCTCCCTTAGTCTTCCAAGTGTGAGACTTTCCTTTTTTTGCGCATGTGAAATTGCTTTGTTTTTTTTAGTGTAACAATTCCAGCGTTTTGTAGAGTGTTCCAGCGTGAGTTGGTACGTGAAATATTTTTATTTTACATTTAATTTTTTTTAAAGTCATATGGATATTCAATTTAAATAATATTTAATAATTATATATAATATTTTTGTATGATCTCTCAACAAATATTGACTTATAGGAAATAACATAAAGTTATAACGATATCAAATCATTAAATACATGAAGAGCTGACAGGTGAGTTATTTATAGTTATCTCTTATTCTTTACCTAATAAAATTTTGGATTTAGATATTGTGCCTAAAGGCGGCAAGGATGCAACAGAAAGTTATATGGACAACAAATTACGGAGCAATAAGTCATCTGAAAGTTATATGAATATTAAATCACCGAGCAATAAGTCATTTGAGTCGGATATCAAATCACCGAACTTGAGGAGCTGACACGTGAGTTACTTATATAAATAGTAAATCACAGAACAATAAGTCATCTGAGGAGTTGACACGTGAATTACTTATAGTTATCTATTATTCTTTACTTGATAAAATTCTCTGCATTCAGATATTGTGGCTCAAGGCAAAGACGGTGATGACTTTCAAAGATCAAACGGTGATGGGGACGACAAATTTAAGTCTGAGTTGATTTCAATCTCCTATATTAAATCTCCGTGTCAAAATATGATAAAATTACAGGGGTGTTTAAACTCTAAGTTTAGAATTCATGTGTTTAAATTTCAATTGTGCCAATTGTTATGAATTGGTTAAGATTATGCTATCGACATTTTTTATTGAAATGAAACTGATTTATTAACAGTTTATCGTAAAATCAGATGACAACTTATTATATAATAATATAATAATAATTATTATTATAGTATTATTTTAAATATTATATTATATAATGGATTATCAATTTGTTACGGTAATAACACGTTGATATCGTATCGTTACTCATGACACTGTTTGAACCAGTTTGTTTGTTCATAATAGACAATAATACATTTTTTTAATTGTATACCAAAGAATTATCTATGTATTATGTATTTCTTCAATGATTTTTATTGCTTGAATTCTCATTAATATATATTTAATAAAAAAATGTGAAAAGTAACTAATAAATTATAAATTTTTGGTTTAAATTTCTAAAAATATTAATAGATATTTTGTCTATTCACTCTTTCAAATTATTCCTAAAATATTTTTAAATTTATTTTTTTATTCCTCAACTTATTTTTTTAAGTGTAACAATCAATAAGATTTTTTAAAAATAATAATAGAAAATATTTAATGTAATATGCTTTAATTAAAAGAAAATTAAAAAGAAGAAGAGAGAAAATATGGTTTCCTTTCTCCTTCATGCAAATAAATCTCCTCTCCATAGCTCAACTCTACCTTCTCTCCTACAGATCAAGATCTTCTTCTTCCCCGATCAAGAATTCGAGGCTGCCGTTGTGCTCACGGCGGAGAATAGCAGAAGACCCACCGATTAGAATTTCGTATCAGTAAGTTTGAATTTTAGGGTTTTTACAAGTTAAAATTTGGGGTTTTGAGAATTTAAGGAATTAAAGGTTTCCTCTTACTCTGTCACTCCCCAATTTCATGTTTTCGGGTTTAATTTTGTTTATTGCTTCAATTTCGTTTTTAGGGTTTTTCAAATTGGGGGAGAACGGTACCTCTCAGGTGTTTTGGCGTTCCTAAGGCTTTATTGAAATTAGGTTGATGTGTAACATCACCCACAGGTAAGGAAGACTTCTTTAATTTTTACTTGTTGTATTGTATTGATTAAAAGTTAAATAAAATGAACTATGAGTATGCTTGTGATATATATACGTGTTGTAGGTGGTATGATATTGTGAGCACTTGTGAAAACCTTAAAGTGTAAACTGTTTTAAAATAGATTGGCTGAAATAGATATCTTTGTATCATTGAATTTCTAAATTGTACGGTTGGTTTGTGTGGTTTGAAGGAGAAAGAATGTACCATTTTAAGTGAATTATTATTGCATAGTAGTTGAGAATTTTAAATGTTGGACTGGACATTTTGAATTGCATGATATTGGTTTGATTCTAGAAACCCTGAGTAGAATAATGTGTATGGAATAGTTGTTGAATGATAGATTTGATGTACTGTGTAGAATAATGTGTATGAAATTATGGATAGGCGAAATAGGGTATCCAGATTTTCAAGATGTCCATAGTCATATAGACGAAGACATCTGTGGTGGGAAGTCGATGGAAACGCAACATAGTGTCAATCCTATGCATGTGTTGCTCTGATGAGAGGTTGAAAAAAAATGATATTATAGGCCCAGGGGTCATGAAATTTTAAGGGTCTGAGACCCCAAATATTCCTCATCAGGTGTCTGCTTTAGTCTGAATTCCATATAGTTTTTCAGAAAACATCCGTCTTGTTGTGTGTTGTGATTGTAAAATGCTAGACTCTCCGGTGAGTCTAGTTTTAGGATGTTTGTGAATGAATAAGTGTCATTTGCAATGTTACATTGTTTTACAT